TCAGAAGTCCAGGTTGTCACCTATAATGCTGACAGACCACCCCCTCCTTGGATTTGACTAGTTTGCTAGCATGGCTCACAGGACTTAGAGAAACCGTTTACTTATTAGATTTGTTTTACTTTAAAAGCATGTAACTTAGGAAAAGCCAGATGGAAGAGATGGGTAGGGCAAGGCCTGGGAGCAGGCAAGGAGCTTCCATGCCCTTTCTGGGGACACTAAGTACCCTCAACCTCAGTGTGCTCCAACGTGGGAGCTGTCTGAATTCCACCCTGTTGTGCTGTTAATGGAGGTTTCATTACATACACCCAGTTGACGAAATCACTGGCCATTGGTGAGGGAACTCAGCCTCTCAGCCCTCTCTCCTCCTCAGAGTTTGGGGGAGATGACCTGTCCATTCCAACCTTTCGATCAATTGGTTGGTTCCCCTGGCAACCAGTCCTCACTCTCAGATGGTTCTGAAAAATGACTCATTAACATAAAAAAGAAACTGTATAACTGTATTGTTCTCTTCAGTTCAGAAATTCTAAGAGTTTTAGGAGTACTATGCTTGGAATGGTGACAAAGAACATACATTTCTTATAAATAGCACTCTAACAACTTCTGAACTCCAGAAATGTAAGAAAATAAAATAGTGGTGTTTTAAACCAGGAAGTCTGTGATTATTTGTCATAACAGAAACACAAAACTAATATAGTAGCCAAAGAGAAGGGCTCTCTGCTCCTAATTCAGAACCTCACCCAATGTTTAGAAACATACACACTTAGCAAATGTTTGAATTGCCAGAGTTCGATGTGTAATTCCAGTTTGAAATCCAACATGTAAGATAAGATGTTAAAATACAGGCTGTAAAGACCTCAGTTACAGAGTGCTCCCCAAGTAAGGATGATGGTGTGCATCCCTCTGGTAAAGCCCTAGTTTTCAGCAGCTGGAGAGTATCTCCAATAGTTTCTACTTTATTTATGACAGGGTCACAAATGGGCATAGACTCTGTAAAAGGAACTACAACGACAATGTAATATCAGTCTCAGGAAAGGCCACATTAAACAGTATGAACTGTGCACATCCTGAAAGTCGGGTCCAGATGTACTTGGCGGCAGGGAGTTCACAATGCAACCAGAACGGTGGGGGCCAGGAAGGGAAGGGGGAAGCAATGCTGTGTCCCTGCCCAGTGCGCTGACCTGGGTACTGCAGATGAGTAAGTCAGAGTCGTGCCTTGCACCTCCAGGGTCACACTGCCTGGGCTTGACTCCCAGGTCTTCTACTTGCCGTAATCCATCAAAGCTGCAGGGGGAGTCAGGCAAGACCTGGAGTTAAAACAGCCCACTGCTCACCACACCTTGCGCCATGGGGTACAGCTGTGTCTGCTCCGAGGAAGGGGGCACCTCTTCCATGACAACGGCAACATCTAGACTCCAAGATGTCTTGGCTGAATCCCCCTCTGGCAGGGAAGCATAGGGACAGAGGGTCAGGCACCTTTTTGCAGTCCTTTGCCCAGGGCAGCGCCTTTCTGTAGTTTGTCTCCCTTAGTGCCTTTTTAGACTTGACACAGGGGCCAGATACAGGCAAGCCTACCAGGATGAAATCTTGGGCAACTTACCCATCTCTCAATAAACCTCAGCTTTATCAGTATCTATGTCTCCTGGGGCTCTTATGAAACTTGTATGATTTACATAAGGCACTGAGCACACAACGTGTTCAACACTGGCAGTGATTGTAAATGTATAAAACACTCAGGACCCCATGACACCATTTTGTCTTAAAAAAAAAAGCCCCCGGAACTGTGCCCTCTCCCCAGCGCTGGGTTGGAGGCCACAGAAGTCTCCGGGGTGCCTTCCTCTGGGCCTGCTTGCTTATGTTGCTTGTTAAATCTTTCTTTTTGTGTTATGCCCTTCTAGGCCTGCTTGTAAAACTGCAGGATGCTGATTTCCTTACACATAATATAATTCTCACAATGGATATTTAAAATTTATGGCCAAATCTCCTATGTGAAGGTGGTCTGGCAGCCATAATTTTTTCCTTCTGTACATAAATGACTATTAACTTGTCGGCATTTTGCAGACAGGTTTTGATGAACTATGATATTTTGCTTAAAATCATTCCAAGAATAATGTCAGACTTGGTAATTGCCTTACCCATGACCACCAGCAGGCAAAATTCACCTCCACTGCACCGCTTATGTTCAAAGGACTCAAACTTCAACCACAGACAGAGCTGTGTGAATTTGAGAACCCAGGGCAGATGGCTTCTTCTCTACAAGGTTACACAGCTCTGACTTAAAATATCTGTAAGTTGATTTCCAGAAGCATAGAAATAATGCTGCAAGAAAGGCTTTTGTAGGCTCTTTCAGATTAAAAAAAAAAACATAGCAGATGGTTTAACATAAAAACAAAGCAATAATCAAAATTTAGTCATGGTGGCAATAAAAATATTTCAGTTTGCAATTGGTGCTTAAAGCAAGTGTTGCCAAATAACAGACTATACTAAAATGTTCACTCATTCAGAGCAAGATCAGACGAGTTTATATATGTAACATTTATATATGTAAAAATGTACACATGTGTTAGGGCTAGATTGCCAACAATCTTTACTTAGGAAAAGTTGTCAGCTATTCTGAGATTATATCCTTCCAACTTCTTTGATGTTAAGATGTTCTTCATGTAATGATCTTCATAGCAAATGAGAGTTATCAATCTGTAGGAAATTTAAGATTCAGCAGCCTCTAAAGTTTGGTTTTCTTTGGAAATGTTAATGTTCCATTAAATCTAAAAGCCTCAGAACCAGAAATTGACTGCATTTCCTATTGGCAGGCCATTGGTTTGTTCTTGTGTCGAGAACAACAACAACAAAAAGCTATATGACTTTTGGGCAAGGCCTGGGAGAGGGCAAGGAGCTTCCTGGGGACACTAAGCACCCTCAACCTCAGTGTGCTCCAACATGGGAGCTGTCTGAATTCCACCCTTTTGTGTTGTTAATGGAGGTTTCATTACATACGCCCAGTTGATGAAATCACTGGCCATTGGTGAGGGAACTCAACCTCTCAGCCCTCTCTCCTCCTCAGAGTTTGGGGGAGATGTCAGAGAGGGGTGGGGCTGAGGGGGCATCACAGGGGCACCAAGATCTTCAACACATTCTCAGACCACCTCAAGGCAAATAGGTTTACCACAGCCCACCACTTAGAGACCTACTGAGGAGAGTTATAGGAGTGTTTTCTGTTCAAGAAACACAAATGAAAAAAAGAGAAAGTCAGGCTTGTTATGTAATATATAGTTTTATTAGGACCTTTACTCCAAAGTTGATACTGTGTATCATTTGAATGCATTACGAATGAACTTTCTCACACATATTCACCAGCGAACAGCTCCCACGTCATGCAACCTTGAGTAAAATTGCTTTTCCCAGATGGGCCTTTCTGTCCTCCACTGTAAAATGGGGTTGCTAATGTACCTCCCCATGCTAACATTATGCACTTACTGGCTCCTTCAGCTTTCAGATACTACTCTGCTCTCTAGAATAGTTTAGTGGGAGGATTTGAATATTAAGCCTTGCCAGCCATTAGATAAAAGGCCATGTGCACCAAATTTAAATACATTTTCATACATCACTTTATCCCTTCTCTTGCTTCTTAAAACTCTTCTTTCATTATGTACCCTCCTCCTGAAATCCCTCCATAGTTCTTCAGTATTAAATCAGGGACCAGGCAGGTGATGAAGAGAGAGGCGCGCCTTCAGTGCAGGAGGGACAAACTGAGAAGCCTGTGAAAAGGGACTCAGCCACTTGCTCCAGCCGCACAGGGCAACCAGCCAAAGCTGCCAAGACAACATGCAGTTCTGACTTAGAGGGTATGACCATTATAATTTTTATAGTTGGCAACTACTTTAAAACCTAACAACCTAATAGCCATGTCTAAAGGTTGTAACTGGCAGGCTATGTGTTTCCAATTTCAGCTAAAGGATAAAAATTCTGACAAATTTGGTCATGAAACCCTGACTTGTTTTAGTGTCACCGAAATACACTCTTTTCATTCTGTTCTTGAAGTCAGCAAAAGAGTCCAACATTCTTAATCTATAGATGAGGGCATGGATCATGGGCTTTGGGGGAAGATCTTGATACAAGCTCTGATTCTACTACTTGCTTCAGCAGGAAAGATTTTTGAACCTCAGTTTCTCTAGCTCTAAAATGAAGACACTAATCCTTACCTTCTGAGTTTTAAATTGTTCCCACCTTTGTCTCCTCCGTCCAGGCTGGACATATCTTTGGACACATCCTGGTGCTCTGTGGTGTCTGTTGTCCAGGCACCAGCCTCCTTGATTTGGCAGAAACTTTATGGCCTATACCTTCTGCCCCATTCTGTTGTGGACCTTTCAGACCAGCTCAATCTGTAGTGACATTTTCCGTTAGATGTCTTTTTACTGTCAAAAACATCTTTGTTGTTCCATTGTCTCATTCTGGATTTTAGAGAATGCATTGAAAATTATCAACTCCCATTTTTAAATTCAAGTCTCAGAGTAAGATTATTTGGAAAGAACATGCTCAGAGGTCATATAGCTTTCAAATTTTTATTATTCCTAAGCATTACCCTGTACATAAAACCATATAATCATCCTACAGTGATACAGAACTTCGGTGCTAGATAATTCAGACTTAGAAAAGGAGCTTTTTAACAGTTGCTTTTTTAATACCTACAAGGACCATTTTCAGTAGGTACAACCAGGAATCTGTCCTACCCTGCCAGTTAAGCAGTGCCAATAACTAGGATGTATTATCACAGCTGCTTCCTCTTGTACCCCCAAAACACAGCCCTAGTTCTCAGCTAATAAGATTCTGCTCTAATTTTGCCCTGGGCTATGTCCAGACTTGATAGTGAAATGGCCTGGATACCCTGCAGCAGTGGAAGCCCCAGGAGTGCTTTCCATCAAAGCCCTGCTTTAGTGATAAGCCCACTCTCTCAGGAGATATTGAAATGGATTGCCGCAGGAGGGCATTGCTTAACTGTTCGGCATAGGTTTCTCTGGAGATTTGTTTGCATTAAGTTCCTGTGATGTCACATGGAGGTGGTGATCTGGAAACAGAATTAGAAATGTTTGGGGGAATTATTCTGAGAATGATTGATCAAGGAGGGTGGTAATGGAGTATACAACACTAATGAGCCTTCCTTATTTGGGATAAATGATCAGCTGTCAACTGTTCATAGTCCCTGCAGCTCATAAAAATGAGCCACACAAATCAGTAAATGTACACAATGTACCTGAAGTACAGAGGGAACAAATACTGTTATGAGACATTCTTGTGTGTGCTTAGAAAGAACTGCCTGCTTTGTTATGTGGCCAGAAAGTAGTTTGAATAATAGGAGTATGTTATCCAGCTGGACAGTAACTGGAGACCATGAGCATGATGGAGGAGGTCAGTCAAGGAAGCCATTTTAGTGATGTTGCTAAACAAGATCTGAGGGGGCCTCACCGAAGTTGCATTTTATGTTCTCTACCACCACCACACAAGCTCCCCCCTACCCCCCACCACCACACAAGCTCCCCCATCCCACCCACCACCATCAAGACAAAGGCTTTAAATCTTCATACTCAACATTCATAAGGTTTTGGGACTCGCTTTCATCTTTAAACTGATCGTTATTTTTCTTGGACAAAATTTTGGGGTAGGGACTACAGCGTGACTTCCCAGAAGTTTTGCAGGCCTATAGAACAGTATTTAGAATCAACTTAGGACAGTTAATCAATGAAACAACACAGGAGATTCGTATTTTAAGTTCACTTGCAGTTCCACACCTACAACACCCTTTCAGGGTTTCATGGGATGGTGGCAGAGGTTACCCCCTTCACCGTGGAGGCAGGTACATCCTCTTAACCTCCTGTCCCCTCAGCAACTTACCGAGCATCTGGTCATCTCACTCACCTCCCACTCTTCCAGGGGAAGCCCCTGCCCAGTGCCTAAGAGCTGATTTGAACAAGGAATCTAAGGCTCATCTCATTGTGTGACCAGCCCTGTGACAAGGAGCTTCCTTCAGACCCAGGGACAGCAAGAAACAGGAAAATTGGAGACTACAAAATTTTATATTACAGAAATTAGAGTGAGTCCAGACTTGTAAAATTTCATCAAGATGAGAACAACATAATTTCTCTTATAAGCCAAAAATAGAGTGTTCAGGAAGCCCTGCCCTGTGAGCAAGTCACAGTAAAAGTCAAAGGTGATTAGTAATACTACAGACACTCAGGCCTTCATTCATTCAGACTTTGGAATGTGGTCCAGCAGTTGCCAAAGATGTGCCTCAGAAAAGGGGAGAGAGAGAGAGTGAATGGACCATACACCAACCTATAGGACTTGTTAACTTTATCACTAAAGTAAAAACCAAAGTCCTCAAAATGGCTCACCAGAACTTCCAGGGCCTTCCAACTCCCTCTCCCTTGCCCTCACCGGCTCCTCTTTCTCTTCTCTCTCTCCTCCCTCACAGCAGCCACTCTGGCTCTTTGCTGTATTTGAATGTGCCAGGCGTTTTCCTTTGCCTGAAACAACCTTCTTCCAAATAGCCACCTAGCTCCCTCCCTCCCCCTCTTCCTGTCTGGTTCACCCACAACCTACAGTCCCTCTCCCCACCCTTCTTTTATGCTCTCCATTTACCATCTGATGTTCCAAATACACAGCTGCTACCTTTGTTGTTCTTTCTGACTGGAATGTAAGCTTGAGGAAGGGAGAGACTTGTGCTAGATCCCCAGCAACTAAAACAGCACATGCTGAATTCTAGGTGCTCCCAGACATATTTGCTCAATAAATGGATGTGTGGGAGAATGGCTGAGATGCATATGTGGGCCATATCCAACTCCCATGCAGAAATGTTTTCTGGCACGACATTTAATATTTTGCTCTTAGGAAGAGCTATAGAAAATAACTTTATACAAATGACGGTCTTTCCCAGAGTTTGAAAATGGCTTTTAGTTACTCAGCATCTCTCACACAAGAATCAACACAAATTCCTTCAAGAATTCAGGGCCAGAGACTTCCCCAGCATAACACTTACTTGCATTTTTAAATTCTGACTATGCAGACCATATACAGCACCTTTCTCTTAACTGCCAGGAAAATACCACTGTTGTAAATAATGCACAAAAACTGTGTGTGTTTGGGAGGAGGGGTTCAGGAGGCTGTTCTAATGAATACCTGAGTGTTTTGTAAGTTTTATAATTTTCACTTGCTAGATATATTTATATTGATACAAGACCGTGTGTGTATTTTCCAACTCCTTACCATGCTGCATGAATTAGAGGTAATGTTATTTTACCGTTTCCTAGGAGACCTCCTGATCCTTAAGATTGCTTGTTGAGTCCTCTGAAATAGAGAGAGTGCAAAAATAGAGCTGAATATCACTGAACTCAAATAAACCAAAAGAAGAGTTCATCTCCCAGAGCATGGGGCTGGGGGCAGAGAGAAACGGGAAATGAAAAGAGAAGCAGGACCAGGATGGGGAAGGGGGACTGTTGTGCTCTATTGCCTCCAACCTGACCTACAGGTAGCCTGGAATCTTCATTTCTCCACTGAGTACAGCATTCACGTTGGCCTCTATCCAAGCAGGTTTAGTAGGAAAAGTATTAACACCTGCAAGGTGGCCCCACAGCAAGTCCCTGAGGACAGAAGTTCCAGTATAGCTGAGGGAAAGCTGGAGGAATAGGCCAGCTCCAGCGTCTGCGGCCAAGTGACAAGGCCCTGTATCACGTAACAGACTGCAGCTACGGACCGGGAGGTGGGAAGGCATGACTGAAACCAGCAGGTCCCACAGTTGGCTACAAAAAGAGAGCGGGGCTGTCCTGGAAGAACAAAATCTACATGCCAGAACAAGCAGGGTTTGTTTAGGTCTAAGTCATGGCAACAAGTTTTAGCTTTGCAGCGATCAGAACAGCTGTACTGGGAGGCCTTGGGCAAGGCCGGCAGCCTTCCTGGCCTCCCTACCCTGGGTTGTGTTGTGTTATATCCTCAAACAGCACCTAAGCGTTAAACCTTTGGTTCCTTTGCACAGCACAGCTAAGAAAACAAAGCCACTCCCAGGCCTCCTGTGCGGCTGCAGACAACCTTTCCTCTGCCCTCCTCCCCCAGACTGAAGACATTTTCAATAGTTCGGAGAGGAAAAAAAAAACAACAAAACTTGCCCCTTAGTTTTAGGGGGGAAAGCATTGAAAAAATGGGTTATGGTTAAAGACAAAACCAGAAAACAAGGAAGCTATGCTATAGAAGCCTGTCATTGCAGGAAAAGTGGACGAGGAGTATCAGCTGGGACAGCCGGCCTGCCAGCTCAGTGATTTACACAGCTTGTTCCTGAGAACCTAAGGAATCCAGAGCTGCTTTGGTGATTTTGCAAATGAGAAGTATTTCTGCTTAAAAAAAGAAAGAAAGAAGGAAAAAATACAGAAGGTCAAGTATCCAGTGCTTACCTTTTGCCTGTTTTATGTATTACATTCTAAAGATGCTTCAAAAAAGACTTACTAAAACAAAGTGTAGAAACCACTGGTCTCATGAATTTTTATAGAGAAGGAAAATCTGGGCAGGATTGGTTAAGTGCCATTTCAGGGTCAAGAAATAGTGATCAAGGAGGCCAAGCCCCAAACCCACTGCTTCTGGCTCGGTGCAGCTCCTACCCACCCCATTACATTTATCTTTAGAGGTAAGGAAAATTTACACTCGATCTAGAAAAATGAAAAGAAAGCCTGTCACTCGAGATTTAAGTACTCACTCCCTTGCAGGGCTGCACACCCACTGCTAGTGTTTAGGAGCCCCACTGAGGCAACAGCCATAGCCATGTGGGACCTGTCCTATTTGCTCTTCTTTCCAGGAGTGCCATAGAAATCCTGGAAACAAAAAAAGGATGGAAGGAACTTGTAAAATTCCCAGAGTAGACCATATTTTTCTATATATCTGATTTTCAGAAATTGAAGCACAAGTATCTGATTTTAGACATAAGAGGAAGAGAGAAAACATTGGTTCCTACCTGCAGTCTCTGAAGTCTCCTTGCCATTCCATTTCCAGACAAGTAGGCAAGATGAACCATCCTCTGAGTGTGGTTTGTGGACCAGCAGTGCCCTGGCCTCATCAACATCTCCCAGCCTGGGCCCAGGTGGGCCCTTTAACAAGATCCTCAGGTCATTTGCATATTAAAGTGAGTATTGGCCTAGATCTTGAACAGGTGCTTCCCAAAGAGTGGTCTCTCAATGAGTAGCATCTGCTTCACCTGGCAACTTAGTAGAAATGCAGATTTTTCACTGTGCTCCAGATCTACTAAATCAGAAAACTGTGCAGGTGGGACTCAACAATTTCTTTTTAACCAGCCCTCCAAAAGATTCTGACCCACACTAAAGTTTGAAGACCACAGTCCAAAATGTGAGACAGGCTGTGGATAAGATGAAGGTTCCTGTGGCCAGGATTCTCCCCTGGCCCTGGTTGGCTAGCTCAGTACACATGTGGGCAATATGTTGCTACTGACTCTATATAAAGAACTCCACCCAGTGCCCTGGGTGACTCGGTGGCATGGCTGCAAAACTGTGGGAGAGCAGAGCAGAGGCTGGAGTGGTGGCAGTGCCAAGGACAGAGGCCCAGAGGATGGCTGTGCAGGCACAGAGGCTGTGGGGAAGTTGGGGTTCCTATGGCCAGGATCCTCACTGAACTTAAACCACCTGACGATGTAACTGGCCTGTTGCTAGGCCACTGCTTCCACACCTTTAGGCAATAAGCTCTTATTGTGCTATATAGAGAGCTTGGCCCAGTGCTCTGAGTGGAGACAGAGACACTAGTGCTCGGCCTACTGCCGGGAGAGCAAGCCGGGTAATAAACCCCTTCGCCCCAAAGAACGTTTTGCTGTCAATTTCTTTGGTCACATTGAATCCATAGCGAACTTGCCCAGGGCTGAAACCCATTGGCAAGACACAGCACAACTCAGAACATTCACCCAAAGAAAAGAGAAAGGAAAAACCAGTATTTCCCAAATTGTGTTAAGGTATTGGTAGGTGTTTAAGTAAAGGGTTCATGGCCAAATATATTTGGGAAATATATAGTTAAAACTGTTGATTTCTTAAATTTTTCATGGCAAAATTTAGTTTATTGTGCATTGTGCATCTGTAAGACACTTGATGACAAGTTCCAAATTTATGTGGGAACACTTAAGATTTAAGCTATAGCAGTCCACTCACATATTTCATAACGAGTTGCTAGAAAAAAGTCTGGATAGATTGTGGCCCTGGTACATTTACATACACTATCTCATTTAAATGTCATAACAACTCTCCAAAACACTGAAGAATTATCCTCCAAGATAATGACGGGACACAGTAGTGGAAAAAAAACAACAACACAGGCTCAAATAAGTTCCCTAGCTTTCCCATGGTCAGAAGGTTCCTAAGGGAAGGAACACCAAGAAGTTGGTCTGCTAGTCAACTGCTGTGGATCAAGTGAAGGTTCCTGTGGCCAGGATTCTCACCTGGCCCTGGTTGTCTAGCTCACTGTGGGCAGTATGTCGTTATTGACTCTATATAAAGAGCCCTGCCCAGTGCTCTGGGTGACAGGGTGGCATGGCTACAGGAGAGCAAAGCAGAGGCTGGAGTGGTGGTAGCGCCAAGGACAGAGACTGGGACAGCTGTGCTGGTAGAGAGACCCAGAGGTAGAGACCAGCTTGCTGCATGCAGACTCTCTCTAAGTGGACAGGATTCTAGTGGGTCTACCACTGTGGGAATAAAGTTGTGTATAAGTCTTTCACCCCAAGTATGTTCTACTGTCATTTCTTTGGTCACATTGAATCCATAGTGAACTTGCCTGGGGCTGAAACCCATTGGCAAGACAATTGCCCAGTGTTCCAATCTATAAGAATCTCTAAAATATTACTGGAAACGTTAGGAGATGGAGAAAATTGTAATTTACTAGGGCAGTTCTTGGGAAGAGAACTTCAAGGCATGTGTTGGGATACTTTGATAAGCAGCTAAAAGTCAGGGATTGAGAGTCAAGGGAGATTCTGGAGCAACACCAGCTAACACCTGGCTTGGAGCTCCTGTGCTGAGCTGGTGGACTAATAAGAGGCATTGCTAAGTGGATCAGAACATTTTAGGAGGTTGATCTCTGCTTTCAAGGATCATCTGCCTCTTCCTTTCCTCCCAACAAAGTGCTCAGCCTTCCTTCTGTGTAAATGTCGAAAACAAAAAAGGAACTCCATTGATTTGGAGGATATCCAAATTATTAGCCTGCCTGTGGCAAACATATACAAGATCAACTTGAACATAATCAAGATTCAGTCACATAGGTCTATCAAATGCCAATGCCTGTGTTCCTCCTAAACAAAGCCTTCTCTCATTAAGCACTTGATGCATGTATTTACATAAAATTACTAGATGCAGTGTAACCGGTAATGCTCTACTTTGACAACAGCTTAAGTTGGTCTTGAGATAAACTGAACTGTGCTCTTGAACATTTTGCATGGTTGCCCATTGTGTTAGTGTGAGAATGGAATTTATTAGTGGGGGAATGAGCTTTATTACAATCCTTTCAAGAGATTCTTAATGACTTTTATCCTCTTTTATATTTTTAAAACCTGCATTATAACCTGGAACTCAGGCAAGCACTGTAATTAACTCAATGCTCTCAAAGAATCTGAAAGTGAAGTCACACAGGTTCTTGACATGCGATAAACGTTTGTTAGAAGTCTAAAATACACTATTTCTTCAACATTATTTTCATTTGAACCACTTTAAGAGCCTAAACACTTACAACTTAAGCCATAAAAACCCATTCACATATTTCATAATATATCTCATTTTCTCAACAAAGGATTAACAACTTGAATGTAAAAAGCAGGTGTAGCACTCTGGATAGGTCAAAACCTTAACACCACCCAGACAAGTCGATAATTTCTGGGCACAGTACATGGCATGCATGAATTTGGTTTCAATATGTTTCCCATAGTATAGCTCAGAAAGTCATAGAGCCATGCCCAACTCAGACTTCCCTTCATAGTGGCAGAAGTATGTGCTGATGATTGAAAGGTCATGCAAAACAGATGTGAGGGCAGCTGGATTTTCCAGCTATGCTTCAATGGACTTAGCAGTGGTGCCTGCCATAACCAAATAGCAAAGAGATTTTATTTCAATTGAGTAAAAAAAGAATCTTAGGCAACCTTGTCAGTATAATTGGCCATATATGCAGTTTCTCACTGAGGTCTTACCTTACCAGCTTCCACTTTTTAAAACTCACAGTGTGAACTAACTTCATCACATTGCAAAGATAAAAATGAACTAGGGGTCAACCATCTTGACCTGTTTTCCAACATCTTATAAATAGGCGTTTTTGACCTATGTGCAGAAGTAATTTTAATTGCCCTTCCAACAGCCCTCTATTCATTTGGTATCATATTTGATCCTATCCAACACTTCAGACCAACTTATTCTCATTATGCCTGTGCTTCTTTGTAGCCAAGAGACCAAGAACAGGAAATGGTGCATTGCTGAGAAGGCTACCACGGCATAGGTACTCTTCAAGAACAGACAGTCCAATTGCAACCCCCCTAAATATTGACAACTGTGTGGCAGGTAACTGTAGTTAAATAAACAAGAGGTTTTAAGTTTTACATATTCTATCAAAATTAAGTAATTCCTAAACCTTATTAAAAAGAGGGACTCTGAGAGAATGTGGATGAAATTGTAAATTTTCTCAACCTACTAAAAAAGTTAAGCCTCAGACTTGTCAGTTAATAACTACATCCTTTTAAAAAATCATTTCTCTGAGTTTTTATTTTTGCATCTCTAATATTTGGGTTAAAGATACTGGGCTCTGAGTCTAGAAACTTACATTGTATCACCACACAAATTACAAAGACTATACAAAATACAAGTTGTTATTATAGATCTGCTGGACTTGATCCTTCATGGTTTAATTTATTGTGAGGAGGAAACTTAATCTCTTTGCTATTAATGAATATGAACTCATTTTTCTATATGACAGGGGTTTAGGTTTATACAGAAAAACTTCTATTAACTGAAAGCCAATTAACTAACACAAACCTTCAATTAGGAATGTTTTACTCATTTTAACTGTAGGAAAACTATTACAATAAAATGAAATCATTAAAAAATACTTTGGTTATATCTTAGTACAAATCTAATAAATCTCTTAAATATTCAGAACTGTTCGATTATACTGGATGTTTATAGGGTAAGCTTTGAAAAACACAATACTATGTTATGTTTGCTTTGCACATTGAAGGTGTGACAAGAGAATGAAGTCAGAAGAATTTCTTGTTTGACTTTCCAATTCACCAAGAATTTGCATTGATGTTTTTTAGATAACAGAGGTTTCATTCTAGGAGAGAACATAGTTTTTATTTTGTACACAGATGTACCTATTAGCAGTTTGGGTTTGGTTCCAAATTCACCCTTCAGTACTTGCTCTATGATTGTAAAATACTCTTTAAGTCTTTCTCCTTTATAGTGAGCAGTGTTAAGCTGCATCAGCCATCAGTCAAGCGAGCCAAGTAGTTTAGGGTCAGGTGAGGATCCTGGCCATAGGAACTTTCATTTTCCCTACACTCACCCCTCCAGGATTCTCGCCTCACAATGTACACATGCTCAATCTTCTGCAATGATCCCTGTGCAAGAAAGCTGGAATGTTGTAACAACAAAAATTATAATATTAATAGTCATCGTCAAGCCTGAAGAGATCGATTGCCATCAAATGGTCATTCCAGCATTATTCAAACCAGTCCCAGTTGATGATTTGCACTTTCCATGGGAGGCCAGTAGAGGTAATGATAGGGAGCTCCATGTACATCCAGTGAGTAGCAGTGTTTGCTAGAGTGTGTGCCCAATCCACAGAGATATTAGAAATGATAAACTTTAAGGACAATAAGATGTATGTTTTAATGGCAATAGTATAGGCAAATCTTGTCCATTAGATAGGATGCATGCAAGAGAGTGGTCCTGTGATAGGACCATAGCAGGAAGGGGTTCCCATCCAGGTCTAGTATAACATACCTTTTACTCCTTTTCCTGTGGTGGTTACTGAGGGGTGTATGTATAGTGCTACTGGAAGTACATGCACCTGCCATAAAGATAAAACAAAACTCCCTGGCAAGATGCTCTTACCTTCCAGCCATTTAGGGTAAACTACTGTGATCTTTAGAGGCCACTCTGCCATTACTCCAGGAATAAATAGGAGGCCAGCCTCCAGGCATTGTCCCCAAGGTGCCATGAGGGCCAGTCATCCCTGATCCATGTGTTGAAACGTCCAAGGCCATATCCACTGAACAGTCTCCAGGGTTTAGTGTTGGTGCTGGTAGCAAAATATTATTCTGGTAGCTAAACCTCAGCTGTAATTATTCCTTCTTGATTTGTACTTGCAGTTGTATAAGGGAGGCAGCAATATGTGTATCAGCATGTCTACAGGGCTCAATGCCCCTTTACAGCACTTTTCATTCAAACACCTTAGCACTGTCCATAAGCAGACTGACCATCCCCATGGA